AAATGACAGCAAGAGAGATGAACACATTTAAATATCAATGTGTAAATAGAAGAAAATAAACTGGGACCTTTATTATATGTTCCATATCACAAAAGAAAAAAAGAGGAAAAAACAAAAAAAAACCCTTTCTCCTGAAATAAGTTTACTTCATGATACAGGGGGGAAAAAATTGAAGTTTTCTACTTTGAACAAGATGTAAAATTTAGGAAGCAAGAACATACTGAGGTAAGTAGAGAGTAGAAATAAATGAAACCCACAGCAGAGCAAAGCAAAATTGATTCTTTGAAGATTGTTTTAATGAAACAGAAGAGAAACTTGGTGATGTTATACTGCTGGGTTTTTTTCTGAACAAAAGGTGTGAATAGATTACATTTTTTTCCAGTGTTTTAAGAAGTATTTATAAGGTTCAATCCTATGCATTTTGGACATGGAATGTGATATAAAAAAACCTATTTTCGGGGCGCCTGGGTGGCGCAGTCGGTTAAGCGTCCGACTTCAGCCAGGTCACGATCTCGCGGTCCGTGAGTTCGAGCCCCGCGTCAGGCTCTGGGCTGATGGCTCAGAGCCTGGAGCCTGTTTCCGATTCTGTGTCTCCCTCTCTCTCTGCCCCTCCCCCGTTCATGCTCTGTCTCTCTCTGTCCCAAAAATAAATAAACGTTGAAAAAAAAAAAATTAAAAAAAAAAAAACAAAAAACCTATTTTCATACCATATACGATTTCAACTCAAAGTAAGTCGCAGAACTAAATGTAAGAGGTAAAACTATAAAACCCTTAGAAAAAAACAAAGGTGTAAATCTTTGTGATCTTGGGTTAAGCAATAGTTTCTTTGCTATACCTGAAGCAAAAGCAATAAAAGAAACATTAGATAAATTGGACTTCATCAAAATTAAAAACATTTGTTATGCAAAGGACACCATCAAGAAAGTTGGTGTTGAAAAGACAACCCACAAAATGGGGAGAAATGTTTGCAAATCATCTACTTGATAAAGGACTTGTCTCTAGAATATATAAAGAAGTCTTACAATTCAATTAAAAATGGGTGAAGGATCTAGTAGACATTTCTCAAAGAAGATATACAAATGGCCAATAAACATATGAAACATCAGTAGCCATCAGGGGTATGCAAATCAAAACATAGATGAGATACTCCTTCACACTTACTGGGATTGCTGTAGTCAGAAAAATAGATACTAAGTGTTGGCGACAATATGAAGAAATTGGAATTTTAATGCACTGCTTGTGGGATTGTAAAATGGTACAGTTGCCTTGGATAACTATCTTACAGTTCTTCAAAAGGTTAATCATAGCATTACTATGTCACCCAGCCACTCCACTCCTAGGTATATATCCAAGAGAAGTGAAAGCACATGTCTACACAAAAGCTTGTACATGAATGTGCATAACAGCATTATTCACAATAGCCTCAAATGAAAAAAATTCAAATGTCCCATTAGCCGATGAATGGGATAAACAGAAAGTGGTATATCCGTACTAGGGTATGTTACTCAGCTATAGAAAAGAATGAAGTTCTGATACATGCTACCACGTGGATGAACCCCAAAAACATTGTGTTAAGGGAAAGAAACCAGTCACGAAAGACCCATGTTGTATGTACATGTAATTTATATCAATGTGCAGATGAGGCAAGTCTGTAGAGACAAAAAGTAGAATAATGGTTGCTTAGGGCTGAGTGGGGAATGGGGAGTGGAATGACTGCTAGGGGGCATGGGGTTTTATTTTTGAGGACAATGAAAACGTTCTAAAATTGATTGTGGTGATGGGTACACAACTCTGTGAGAGTACTAAAAGCCATTGAATTATACACTTAAATCGGGGACTTAGGGGCGCCTGGCTGGCTCAGTCTGTGGAGTGTGCAACTCTTGGTCTCAGGATTGGGAGTTCAAGACCCATATTGGGTATAGAGATTACTTAAAATAAAATCTTTAAAAATAAATAATTAGGTGAATTGTTCGGTATGTGAATTAGATCTCAATAAAGCTATTACTCAAAAAAAAGCTATAAGCCCATAAAGGAAAAAAAAAAGATACAGAAGACTAAAGATTACCAAAAAATGTAAGATGGGAAGGTATAGGTAAGTAGTTACTTACTTAGCAGAAGAGGCTGGAATCCAAATGCCTTGAGAGCTTAAGAGGGACATGAATGAGAGCTGTAGCATGAGTTTTTTTTTTTTTTTTTTTTTTTTTTTTTTTTTTTTTTTTTTTGAGAGATAGAGCACGAGCGGGATAGGGGCAGAGAGAGAGGGAGACACAGAATCCAAAGCAGGTACCAGGCTCTGAGCTGTCAGCACAGAGCCCAGTGGGGGCTCAAACTCACAGACCACGAGCCAAAGTCAGACCCTTAACCAACTAAGTCACCCAGGCACCCCTAGTATTTTGTTTGTTTGTTTTTGTTTTTTTTAATAATACCTTTATGAGAGGAGTGCCTGGGTGGCTCAGTTGGTTGAGCATCCGACTTCGGCTCAGGTCATGATCTCATGGTTTGTGGGTTCAAACCCCGCGTCAGGCTCTGTGTGATAGCTCAGAGCCTGGAGCCTGCTTCGGATTCTGTGTCTCCTTCTCTCTCTGCCCCTCCCCCACTTGTGCTCTGTCTCTCAAAAATAAATAAATGTAAAAAAACATTTTTTTTTTTAGTAATGATACCTTTATGAGATAGAATTCACATAGAATACAAAAAGACTCTGAAATGAAGGGACTAAGATTTTCAGAAGGCAGAAGTGAGGCATAGGATGGAAACGACATCATCAGGAAACCACCCTTTTCTCACTTTGAAGACCAGACGGTTTATTTTCTGAAGTTTGAACCAGGTACAGCAGATGGTCACGGTAAGTCAGAATACTCAAAAGAGGTAATGAATAAAAGTCAGTCTACGTAGGAATCCTGAGATAGCCATTTCCTAACACCTACTTGGATCCCAAAATGCTGACAGCCAGATTTATACTTCCAAACAAGACATTGTTGGATTTTCTGAAACAGTCCATGAAGAAAGACCTAAAAACACCCTTGGGGGCCCCCAACTAAGTGGCCAGACCCCAGATACATCCCATGGTGACAAAGTATACCTACTACAGAACTTATCAGCATTTTCATACCTAACTCTTAAATGTGACATCCATGTCAGGAATGCTACTAACATGAAAGTCAGAGTCCAAAAGAAAAAAAGAAGCTCAAAGACATCAGAAATAGAGGAAGGAGCTGAAAAAAACTTTCAAAAAACCTTTCTCAAGGTGTTGAAAGATTATATAGTCTATCCATAAAATGAGAACTGCTAGAAATTTAAACATTTTATTTTTAATTTTTTCAACATATGTTTTATATTCTAGAGAGAGAGCATGCAAGAGGGAGAGAGGGACAGAGAGGGAGATAGAGAGAATCTTAAGCAGGCTCCACGCTCATCACGGAGCCCAACACAGGGCTCAATCCCATGACCTTGGAATCATGACCTGAGCCGAAATCAAGAGTCAGATGCTCAACTGACTGAGCCACCCAGGCACTCTGAGAACTGTTGGAAATTTAAAGCATTGGAGGATAACATTGAGAAAATATCCCAGAAAGTAAATAAAAGAATAAATTAATAGAAAATAAGAGAAAAAAATTTAATTGGCAGATAAATCCAGAAGTCCAACGTCCAAGAAATGGAATTTCAGAAAGCTGTAACAGAGAAAACAGAAGAGGGGACTATCAAAGACAATACAAAAAATTTTCCCAGCACTGAAGATATGAGACTCTAGATGGAAATTGGTCATCAACGGCCTGCAAAATGAGTGCCAAAAGCTTATCACTGTGAAGTTTTAAGTATACTGAGGAAAAAAAAAAAAAAAAAAAGATCCTGAAAACTACCAGATAGAAGACATGAGTCACTTGTAAATCTCAACAATCAGAATGATATTGGACTTCTCAACCTTCTTCAGTAGACACTAAAAGACCTGCAGCAGTCTTCCAACTCACAAGGAAAATTATTTCCAATCAAGACTTCTTTTGAGCCTAACTCTGAATCAAATATGAAGGCAGAATAAGGGCATTTTCAAGTGAAAAGAATGATCTCTGACCTCATCTCTCAGGAAACTACTAGAGGATATGCTCCACAAAAATGAGGGCATCAGCTATGAAAAAGGAAGACTTGGGGTACTGAAAGTGTGATCCAACATGGAAATTCCAGGGATAATACTAAAAGGAAGTTCCAGAATAACCAGTCCAGTTTGGAGCAGGAGGATGGAGATTTCAGGCAAAATGTTTCCAGAAAAAGAATAGAACAAAAAGATGACCTGATTTAAGTTTTGGTCAAGTGAAAAAAAACAGTATTGAGAGGAACTGTAGAATTGTATTGGAGAAGAATTAGTAGAACATACCAGCAGTCATACCCTATGGAAAATGATAATTTTATACGAGACATTTGAGCTGTGAATAATACTCACAAAGCTATGTGAACTGAATATTGCTTTAACATAAAACTGTAATACACCTTATACTGGGAGACTAGAGGGAGGGGAAGTAGAGGAGGCATAATAGTGCCAAGTGCTCGTCTTCCATAATAGTCCATCTGTGGGCACTATTTGAAATTGGTTATGTTATTTAGAAACATGGACATTAACACAAGCAGAAATAGCTAGAAAGGTTGAAGATAGTTGTTTCTGGAGAGTGGGACTCAGGTAAGAGGGTGGGGTAGGGAGACTGCTTTTTTAAAAACTTTTAAACCTGTGGTATATATACATGTAACTACTTAGATGAAAATCCATTTTAAGAATTTTCTTTTTTTAATGTTTGTTTATTTTGAGAGAGACAGAACATGAGCCAGGAAGTTGTGAGAGAGAGGAAGAGAGAGAGAATCCCAAGCAGGCTCCACACTACCAGCGTAGAGCCTGACGCAAGGCTCACACTCACTGTGAGATCTTGACCTGAGCCAAAATCAAGAGCTGGATACTTAACCGAATGAGCCACTCAGGTGCACCTTAAAAATTTTCTTAAAAAAAAATTCTTTTAAGTTAGGCCATAATGAAGATCTCCATTACTCTAATTGGCCATATTTTCTGACCAGAATGAAATAAGAGCAGAAACAAATTATATGTTTAAACAACAAACCAAATCTCAACCTATAGAGAACTTATAGTTACAGATCATATAACTGTGTAACAGGCCAAGGAAGAAAAGTTTAATTTAAAAAATAATAAAAAAGAATATTACCTCTTTTTAAAAATAATTTTTTTTAATGTTTATTGATTTTTGAGACAGAGAGACAGAGCATGAACGGGGGAGGGTCATAGAGAGAGGGAGACACAGAATCTGAAACAGGCTCCAGGCTCTGAGCTGTCAGCACAAAGCCCGACGCGGGGCTCGAACTCACGGACCGTGATATCATGACCTGAGCCGAAGTCAGACGCTTAACCGACTGAGCCACCCAGGCGCCCCCCAAAAAATGTTACCTCTTAAAACCAATACTCTGTAGTCTGGTATAGCCAAGCAATACTTGGCAGTAAATTCATCATTGGAATCTTCATTAAAAAAAAAAAAAAAGGCATTCGACTTAAGATTTTAAAAAATGAACCCCCCAGCCCAAAAAACTCCATAAGAGAAAACAATAATGTGGAAGCTCAAAATATATTCAGTTAGTAACTTTTTTCTGTTTTTCCTAATTTATATGCAGTTTGGGTTTCTAATAACTGTTTTTGGGGTGTTTGGTTGATTGTGTCTTTTTAGGTCTTAAACACAGATAGTTTGAAAATATCAACTCGCCTGAACTTGTTGGACCAAGAGTTGTCTGAAAAGAATGTAGAGCTGCAACGCAGCACGGCTGAGGAGAAAATAAAGATTTCTGAACAAGTTCAGGCCCTCCAGAAAGAGAAGGATCAGCTACAGAGACGAAGAAACAGTGTGGACGAGAAACTTAAAAATGGTAGTGTGTTGTCACCTGAAGTAAGTCAGTATTCTTTAGAACTGGAAGTGCTCTATGATGGGTCACTTGGATGATTTCCTCCGTCTTTGTTAACTTAAACATAAAAATGGATAAATCTAGTAAACTCTGTTTTCTTGAGACTTTGTCAGATGTGATGAGTTGAGCTGACACCCATTAGGTGCCATAAGCCATGCTTGACCAGAGACTGTGATATCCTCACACAGGGGTCCGTGAACATGGCCTCCTACTGGCATCTTCACGGATGGGAAACTAACACTTACCTTGAGTAGGGACTTTCTCAGCTGGGGTTTCTCATCTGACATCACAGAACACAGATGAGCTGAAGAACTCTTTTTCTCAGTTCTTCCAAAGAGAGCACCTACCTCCTCTCTGCAAGTTTCTTGAACGATACTAGGTAATTCGTTACATACATGAATGACTAGGACATTAAGGGTTAATTCCTTCAGAAAGGCCCAGCCTGCAGGAGCATATTCCAGCCCAAGTAGATGCATAGAACTCAAATCCCAATAAAAATACCTTTGAGTTGCAGTTTTCATTTGGGAGAGCTTATGGCTCCTCTCACCTTTATTTTTTTAAACTCTGTAAAAGATAGTATATTTATTGGCTGTCACAATTGTCCCAGACTGTGTCTTTTTTCAAAATTTTACATCAGTTGGCAATGGTACTTATCCCTTACTTTATCAGACAAGTATGAATTTTTGAGCCTACATGTTCTCTACAGATATTTTGTAAGTTTATTGATTTATTTTGAGAGGACAGAGAGAGTACAAGCAGGGGAGGGGTACAAAGAGAGAGAATGCCAAGCAGGCTCTGCATTGTCAGCGCAGAGCTGGACATGGGGCTCAAACTCACGAACTGTGATATCATGACCTGAGCCAAGATCAAGAGTAATACGCTTAACCAACTGAGGCCCCCACATGCCCCTCTATGCAAATATTTATTGTTGCTGTCCTGTCATGACCAAAGCAAGAGAAGATTGTTAAGGGAAAGTGAGTAGCTGGGGATCACGCACCTTGCCGAATCTCATATGGTTTTAGATTGGAGCAAATGGGAGATGGAAGTTAAGGGGGCTGGGTAAGAAGGAACAAGAGCAAAGATTTCATAAATGAGATTGTTGTTCACTGTGTGGATGAAAGAAATTGAAGACTAACTTGATTGGGGGCTATGTGGCATTATAAGCTTCACTGCCCAGTTTAATAACATGAGTAGCTGAGAGGATCACAGAATCAGACTGTCCTCCTGGGGCTGTTAAATTGGAGCCTGGCCTTGTAGATCGAGAGGTATGAGAGCCTAAGATACTGCAAAATGTAATATTAGTATTTAAGGAATTCTTGCCTGCCCAAGACTGTTACCAGACCCTATAGAAGAAACCAAAACAGTAAAAAGCATTATGCTTCTTTTGAGAAATTCATACTCTATCTGGGGAAAAGAGACAAATATAAGAAAACTCTAAACCCTGAAGAACATAAAAAAAGCAAGTTATAATAATGTAATAAAACTATACTTATTATATTATTTATACAAAGCAATGCAGTGATCATGTGGGGGGAAGATTCATCAAGGCAACTTTGGTGCATTAGAAACTTGAGCTGAGGGGCGCCTGGGTGGCTCAGTCAGTTGGGTGTCCAACTTCAGCTCAGGTCATGATCTCACGGTCCAGGAGTTTGAGCCCCGCATCGGGCTCTGTGCTGACAGCTCAGAGTCTGGAGCCTGCTTCGGATTCTGTGCTCCTCCCCAGCTCTCTCTCTCTGCTCCTCCCCAGCTCAGGCTCTGTCTCGCTCTCTCAAAAATAAATAAATGTTAAAAAAAAAAAAAATTTAAAGAAACTTGAGCTGAATTATGAAAACCACAATACTGGTAGATACAAGAAAGAAGGCCGTTGTAGATAGAACATCATAAATAAGGCATGAAGAAGGGAACGAGCAAATTATTTTTGCAGAAAGGGTAGAAGTTCCATTGTCACTATCAAGAAACATTTACATTTCTATTTCATATAGAATTCTATAACTAAAAAACATTATTTAGGGTTTTGTGGGGAAAACACAGCACCATGCATAATACCTGTGTCGCAGCCAGTGTGGATTGGTTTGAGGGAATGCTGAGCCTCCTACAATTCGTGGGGTTCCGTCAGCCATGGGAGCTTCTGTGCAGCCTTCTTCCACAAGGTTGGTTCTTCTTAGTGTCAGTCTCAAGTGGGCTCTGCTCTCACTACTGTCTTAACGCCAAGATTAACATTACCAAACAGATCTGCCAATAGCAGGTGATCAGGAACATGAGATTGTGATGTGACACAAGACATCAGTAAAATCTAGGTGCAATAGTTGGCTGTTTCGATGTCTTTAAACTAGCTTAGAATTATTTTCTCTTGCCACAATAGATTAAAACCGTTTTCATAATGGGAAGTGATAGAAAGATTTTAGATTATACTAGTACAGGATTCTGCAACAACTTAATATAGACAAATACTTCGTTCTGTGGGTAAATTCCGTAAACAAATTTAAAAAAATACTTCAACTCCATTTTTCTAATAATACACAGCAGTTGCTCAGTGAGAGGGGCATAGGAGAAAATATAAGAACTATTATGTTTATTTCACTTGTACTTTCAATTTCATGTTTTATCACTAACGTGCATAGAAATATACGTATATACAGTGCTTAAAAGTGTTTATGTGTGTTTGGTTTTTGGTTTTGGTTTTTCACTGATAGGGATGTGTGATCTAAACTGTTTGGAGACCCCCTGCTTTAGGTGCTTGTTGCTCTCAGTGTGCTCTCTGGATCTGCAGCAGCCTCACCTGGGAGCCTGTTAGAAATGCAGAGCCTTGGGCCACACCCAGACCTGCTGAATCAGAAATCTGCATTTTAACAAGATCCCTGGTGCATGTGTGAAAAAGCAGTGCTCTGTGATAAAACATTAGTCAACTCTTGATAATCTGTCATTTGCCTCCTGGCCATTTTTCATCCTGGAACAGTTTCCCATTGCCATTCATCTTGCCAACCCACACCTATTGCTGGGTTCAAGGGAATCACGAATATTTATACACTGCAGCCTCACTGGATTGGGCCATCCTCAGGGTTCTGTAGTCATACTGCCTTATATTATCTCAGTACTTCCCTAACTTAGATGCAAACTATAGAAACTAAATTTGGGCCAAATTGTTCTCAGACATATATAAAGGTAAACTCTTGCCACATTTGTTTTTGGAAAATATCATAGTATGCATTCAAAAGTTAAATATGTTCTTTGGATAGTCCACTTTTATTTTCTGGTTCCTCTTATCCGTTCACCAATGTACCTTTCAGGACTTAAGTTTGTTTTTCTTAAAAAGGTGAATATTATTTTCTTCCTGATGGAGTGATTATCAGATCATCAAATCCTTGATGGTTAGTGATTGCACAGAGAAACAAAATGGCTCTTTCAGGAGATTTTTTTATAAAATTTTTTTTAATAAGTATTACTCAACCTCACACTGGAATGAGTTATTACATACCTTTTCCCTGGATTCCAGAAAAGGAGTTCTGAAAGTCAGTCTATTCTTTAGGTAGATCAGAAATATTAACCTTATTTTCTCTTGAAATGCTGGGGGAAGGAGTGGAAAGAAATATTTCGATCACATAATCAGACATATGAAAATATTTTTTTCTCCTTTTTCCTCATTAACTCATTCAGCAGATACTTACTGAGTTTAAACTGTATGATAGGTACTGTGCCAGGCAGTAAGGACTTGAGTATGGACAAGATGGTCTGCCTTCAAGGAACTCAAAGTTGTGGTAACCCTCCACCACACATACAGGTATACAGAAATATTTATCCAAGTCTCACCAAGTTTAAAATAATTTCTTGCCAGAAATTTGGACACTCCCAAATATTATGTGTTTGGATAGTCCAAAGAACTGACAGGGATTCATCAGGTTTGTTTTTCTTTTTTCCTACGAAGGAAATCTTCTCTAGCATATGAAAAAAGTTGTACCACCACCATTTTTAATGCCTTTGTTTGCCCCGTAATGACATCTCATAGGAATTTTATGAAATGTTTCATGTCCTTAAATTCTCACTACTTTTTTTTTTTTATGCCATAATCTTTTCTCCCTAAGAGATTCTCTTCTGATGACTAGTCCTTAATAATTTATTCTAAATCTATTTCTTCTTTCCCTCCTGGCAGTCTGTTATTTCGATAGCTCTTTGAAGGGATACTAGGGAGTATCCAGATCTCTCGGACGCATAATATACACTTTAGGAGCTGTGGAAGGAGACACCTGGCAATAGTGCTGGTCCTGGAGGCTGAGGCTTTGTTCAAGTGTATTTCCTGGTTATTGGCATTTGCCGTATGACCTTGGGACGTTTCATAACTCACCTAGCTTTTGCCTCTTCCATTTTACTACACAAAATTTATTGCAAGGATTCAATGATTCTATGTTTTATATATGTGTGTATACACATACATTGTGTAGCATTGCAGGCACTCGATAAACGTTAAAATTTAGTAGACAAATGGTAATGTTCGTTAGACTCCGATAGCATAGTTGAGATCTTAGTGTATGACCAAGTCCAAGTTGTAGTATTACATTTAAAATGGGTGATTTCTATTATATCTAGGAAGAACATGTTCTTTTCCAACTTGAAGAAGGGATTGAAGCTTTGGAAGCTGCAATTGAATACAAGAATGAAAGCATCCGGAGTCGCCAGAACTCGCTCAGAGCTTCATTCCAAAACCTCTCTTGTAGTGAAGCAAATGTCTTGGAAAAACTAATTTGCCTGAGTCCCATTGAGATTAGAGCTATTCTTTTCAGATATTTCAATAAGGTTTGTTCCTGAGGGACAGGATTTTCTTATAGAAGGGTGGGTCAGGATGCTTATATGTCTCACATTTAAGAAATTGAAAGGCCTAAAAATTTGATGGCATAAATACCGTTGAAGTATGATTTCCCATTCCCAGTACTGAGTGTAATCATCTGAAAGTTTTGTGCATGTCCAACTTCGGGAGGTTCTTAAAGTTGGAAGGGCCTTTTGAAAGAAGGGCTTTTTGTAATAGTTTTAAAAACCGAAGAATTCAAGTTCTATTCCTCAGTTACTATTTCTTGGATATTTTCTAGATTTGCTTGTTGCTGCTCAGCATTCATGAAAAATCAAGGGCCCTCCAACTTTGGGTTCCCTTTCCTTCGTTGCTGGGGGCGGGGGGGGGGTTGTACCTGTACATTATCATCAGACCTATGAACTGAAATGAAGATAATAGTAGATTTTAGCATTAACCTGAATGATGTCTTCTCTTAAGGTATATATTATGAAGTGTTAAACAGATAACTCTTCTCTGAAAGGTATATTCAGTGTAAAGGAATATCAGACAATTAATGAAAAATAAAACACTGGAGTTTTAAGATAAAATTCTAGTTCTGTTAGACAAGTGAAATAAAGATGAAAAATTAATGGAAATGTTATACACAGCCCTCTTCTTGAATAATGACTGTCAGTAGTAAGCTACTATCATTGATCAGAGTGCATCCTTATCACCACATGTACGAAGGGCAGAAAAATGGTGTGGTGCTGTCTGAGGCTCTGATACAGAGAACTCACGGGTTAGGGCACAGGTTCTTAACCCAAAGCACCCAGGTTAAGGTCAGTGGGTTTTCTGACCCTGGGAACCTGAGTATTTCTAGACAGAAGGTCATTACATTAATGAGTTCTGTGAAGTATCTTCACTTCACAGCAGTGCAGAGAAGAACCCATTGGACTAAATGCACAGTCTGAGACTGAACTCTGTATTTACGGTTTCAGAAAAGTCTGTTACTTATTTATAACATCCATTTTGGAGTTAAAACTGGGAATTACCTGGATGTTACAAGAGTCTTTAGGTTCCTGTTATCTTCTTAGACTAGAGAAATAGTTATAGGATTATAAATATTAACTGCAGAGACCATGTCTAAGAGATGATGGAGGGGGTGATAGAGCCACATCATATTTAAAATGAAGCTTGTAACCAGTTCAGAATCCCAACAAACTCAAAAGACTATTGGGTTATTTTGTGGGTATGTTATAAAGCATTCGCTTAGTTATTCCATGGGGACTAAGGGAGTTCTTTAGGTAGCCTGAGAGAAGTAGCTTATTATATTAGGCTATTTAAGACAAAGTTAAAAGGTCAAAAAATTTCTTTGCTAGGTGGTCATTTTGCGAGAAACTGAACGGAAACTACACTTAGAGAATGAAGAAGTTAAAATGAAGATTCTGGAGCGGGATAATATGGTTCGTGAGTTGGAATCTGCATTGGAACATCTGAAATTGCAGTGCGACCGGAGACTGACTCTCCAGCAAAAGGAACATGAGCAAAAACTGCAGCTGCTGTTACATCATTTTAAAGGTACCTGCCCCTTCTGGTCAGTTGTGGAAAAATGATGTGTCAGAGGGGCTAGGAAAGAAAGATAGGACAGAATTTGATTAATGAAAACTCCAACATGAAAAGTCAAACATGAATAAATAGTTACGACTTGTACTTGTTTTTGTGCTTTGCATGTTTACCACATGTAGGGGATAGTTGGGTTACCACACAGGGGGAGAGTTGACTGTGATGTAGGGCTATTCATGCTTGAAATGCCATCCCTCTGCCTGTCCCTAGTGCTACACACAAGAACCCCCCTCAGTTTGTTGTTGGTCTGTTTTTTTTTTTTAAGTTTATTTATCTTGAGAGACAGCAAGCATGAATGGGGGAGGGGCAGAGAGAGACCGGAGAGAGAATCCCAAGCAGGCTCCACGCTACCAGCACAGAGCCTGACACAGGGCTCGATCTCATGAACCTGAGATCATGACCTAAGCCGAATCAAGAGTCAAACGCTTAACCTACTGAGCCACCCGGGTGCCCTGTTGTTGGTCTGTTTTCTATGTACAAATGTGGGATGACTTCTAGCTTTGTGGTACACAGTTGAAAAGTTTCTGTCGCCCAAGGATATAGTACCTTGATATTTAAATTACTTTCCCTCCAGAAAATTAAAGCGATAGGCTTTGTCAGATTTCTAGTTATATTTGTTACAATTCTCAGTTAGTTGTAAGTTTTACGCATTAAGATTATTTCTTAGGTCAAAATTAGTCTACCATCAGTGGACACATACTGTTAATCAGTGCACAGTAGTTCAGCCGTCAACTCTGGTGTGGAAAGAGCAGTCATAGAGTTGGTCCTCATGTTACCTGGCATTTGGCCAGTACATACTTGCCATGGCAACAGAAGCGCTGCCTGGCGATGCTAGTAATGCTTCAATCCAGGCTGCTTAGCTGCTTAGTCTTGATTCTTGTGAGTCTATAGCTGGAAATGGGTTAAACAATGGAGAAACAACCTGAGCAAGCAGAAAATTGGGAAATATATAAATTTGAGTGTTGAAGCAGTGTGCCGCTAAGTTAATTCTATAGCCAGTTAATTAGCAAGCGGTTGTCTGATGACAGGATTTCCTTGACAGGATCCTATACATCACTTCATTCAAACAGCTCTCCTTACCTTATTTTAGTTCTGTCTTAAGTCTCTATAAAGTGATATTTTAATAGATTTGTGGGGTTTTTGTTTTGTTTTTGTTTTTGTTTTTGTTTTAGAGAGAGAGAGAGAGAAAGAGAACATGAGAGTGGAGGAGAGGGGCAGAGGGAGAAAGAATCCTAAGCAGGCTCCACCCCCAGCATGGAGCCTGACACAGGGCTTGATCCCATGACCCTGGGATCATGACCTGGGCCAAAATCAAGTGTTGGACGCTCAACTGACTGAGCCATCCAAGCACCCCTTATTAGAATTTTTAATGTATTTTTCAAGTGACATGCATTGTACCACAAAAGCTCACGCTATAGCCAAATAAGAACATTTTAAAAATCATTCATTTCTATAGCTGGGATAAGTTTTTCATAACAAAATGTTAATAATTTATGAATTTTCTAATTTCAACTAAATATGGTATATAAAATCAAGTTGACATATATAATATTTTTAAATAATTATTCTGAGAGAGAGAGAGAGAGAGAGAGAGAGAGAGAGAGAGAGAGA